CTTCCTTCCTTCCTTCCTTCCTTCCTTCCTTCCTTCCTTCCTTCCTTTCTTCCTTCCTTCCATCCATCCATCCATCCATCCATCCATCCATCCCAGTTTCTCCAAAGTCTGCCTCGAGAATATAGGACCTACTCGTTGGGGCAGTTTTATTTTTAAATTAGCCCAACATATCATAGTAAATAGAAGACAGCGGTGAAGAACTGAAAATCTATGGCTGTGAATCCTTTCTGAGATTAACCACCTTCTCTTTTCCCAAACTCCATTTTTTGTGTTCATACTATTACAATTGTGTATCATCAAGTTGTTGCTGGTTCTTAGTCTCCAGGATGATTGGTCCCTAACTTGGTCTTTCAGGCCTTTCAATGGTGCACGGATCGCCATGGTAACTGAATCTCCTCATGTTCTTGCTGCTCATCCTCTTTCCTTCCACATTTCACAATAACAGTTGACTATAAACAAGGCGGACGCAGTGGCTCAGTGGCTAAGACACTGAGCTTGTCGATCAGAAAGGTCGGCAGTTTGGCGGTTCGAATCCCTAGCACCACATAACGGAGTGAGCTCCCGTTACTTGTCCCAGCTTCTGCCCAACCTAGCAGTTCGAAAGCATGTAAAAAATGCAAGTAGAAAAATAGGGACCACTTTGGTGGGAAGATAACAGTGTTCTGTGCACCTTCGGCATTCAGTCATGCTGGCCATATGACCACAGAGACGTCTTCAGACAGCGCTGGCTCTTTGGCTTTGTAACGGAGATGAGCACCGTCCCCTAGAGCCGGAAATGACTAGCACATATGCACGAGGGGAACCTTTATCTTTACCTATAAACAAGGCATTTTGCTTGGCTAATCAATTACATCTGAACAGCAAAATTGATGAACTAGCCAAGAATCCTTCAAAAATATACGACAAGACCTCTCATTGAGTAACTTCTTTTATTGAATAACAGAACTCAGTCGTATAAAGTTACAAAACTACTGAAATAAAGTCATTTTCTTGAATATGACGGGACCTATCCATCACACTAAACAAGAATAAGGTTTATTTTGAGCTGCAGTGGTGCATACATTGGACAATTCTGGAAAGCTGGATAAAATATATAAAATAAATGCATTCAACCATTTAGGCTAATCTCTGTTCATTATTCCATCCCCCCTTTTTAAAAAATATATTTTTAATTAATTTTCTTTTTTTACATCATAAAACATCATGGTATCAACAACGTTCTTGGCACCTATACAGGAATTTGGTTTAAACATAATACATTATATTGCATTTGTCTACTATTAAACAGTATCTTTAGTTATAATTACTACTCTTATATCTTTATATAATTTACAAAATTTTATTTTACTGTCTTAAGGATTGTTTCAATTAACATTTTTGTCTCACTTCTTGGTTCTGTTTGTTAGCCATTTACACCAGTTGTTCCAAATTGTAAAGAATTCAGTCATCTTTTTCTTTCGATTTCATTGTTAGCATATTCATCTCAGCACTTTCTGTTACTTTGTGTATTATTAGTTCTTCATTGGGGGTATTTGGTGATTTCCATACCTGCGCAAAGGCTATTCTGGCAGCTGTTGTAATATGCAATACTAAGTATTTTACTTCTTTTGGTAATCTTTCTTTGATGATTCCTAAAAGGAAGGATTCCGGTTTGAGCTCAATCTGATCGCCAGTGATCTCTTTTAACCAATTTTTAATTTGAATCCAGTATGTCCTGGCCTCGGGGCACATCCACCACATGTGATAAAATGTACCATCAACTTTTTTGCACTTCCAACATTTGGGACTCATGTTGGAGTCGATTTTTGACAATCTCATTGGCGCTAAATACCATCTATAAAACATTGTTTATATATGTTTCCTTTGTATGCTGCAGATACCGTTAACTTGTAATTTATGTTCCATCTTTTCTCCCATTCCTCTAATTCTATAGTGCATCCAAAATTCTGTGCCCATGCAATCATTGTACTTTTGATTATTTCCTCTTCCATTTTGAAATCTAATACATATTTATATATTTTAGTTATAAGTTTTTGTTCCAGTCCCATTAATATTTTATCTAATTGGTTCTGCCCTTTGTCAAATCCAAATTCTTTTGAGTCTTTTTTATATTTATTTTGAATTTGCAAATATAGCCACCAATCGATTATAATTCCATTTTCCTTCAGTTCTTGGTTTGATTTTAATTTCCCTTGACTATCTAATAATTCTTCATAACTTACCATTTTCCATAGGTCTAATCTATTTGGATGTATTATGGCTTCCATGGTTGACAGCCATCGTGGGATTTCCATATAGTGTTTACCTTTGATTTTTTTTTCCAAATTGTAATCAATGAATCTCTTATTAGGTGTTGATTGAAATAGGTATGTATATTACTTTTGTTTTCCCACAAAAATGCATGCCAACCTATCAAGAGGTCATGTCCTTCTAATGTTTAGATTCTCTTGTCTCTTAATTTAACCCAATTCTTAATCCAACTCAACACCTCTGCCTGGTAATAAAGCTCCCATTCTGGTAGTCCAAGACTGCCTCTGCTCCTATTATCTTGTAATAGTTTCATTTTAATACGTGGCCACTTGCCCAACCAGACAAACTTGGCTGTCATTTTATTTAGTTCTGTAAAAAAAGATTTCCCTAATTTAATTGGAATCATTTGGAATAGATATATTAGTTTTGGTAAAGTATTCATTTTCAACGTTGCTATTCTTCCTAATATAGACCTTTCAAAGTATTGTTGAAGCTGAAAATATTTGTACATGTTGGTATGTAGTCACTTTTGCAGATTATATTATTGAATTTTAAACAATTTTTCATAAAATTGCAACTCTTTGTGAGTTAGTGATGGCTTTACAGTCTCCAGGGATTTTTCAAAATGTTTATATTTCACAGCTGTGGCTTCCACTTCATTTTCTTGCAATGCTAGCAAAGCAGCCTAAG